CCCAGTCAGCGGCGCAGACGGGGTGCAGAGACAGGCTTTCCGCCTGTCCTGGCACTGCGGACCACACTGCGCCCCGGAAGCGGCCAGCAATGGGTCTGGCTCCTAGGCAGAGGTGTGCAAGCGGCTCCGTGCAGCTCTTGCCCGCAGGCACCGCCCCCAGCTCCCATTGGCCAGGAACCAGCCAATGGGAGTGTAGAGCTGCTGCTCGGGTTGGGGGCAGCGCGTGGAGCCCTGTAGCCCCCCTGCCTAGGGGCCAGACTCACTGCTGGCCACTTCCAGGGCACAGCGCGGTGTCAGAACAGGTAGGGACTGCTAGTTTATACTGGCTGGCCACCAGGGTCCCTGGGTGCTAAGCAAGGCAACCCAGTACCTTGCATTCCGCAACCCAGTACTGGGTCGCGACCTGAAGTTTTAAAACCACTGGTTAAGTAGGTACATATAAGACATTACTGTCATGTCTGACTGCTTCTAACATTCCCTCCAAAGGTGTGCAGTCATTTGGGTTGTGAGAGCAATCAAGATTCAAGCCTCCTACCTCCTACCCTCCGTGTTTCACTGCAAGCAGCAGCAGGTGTAGGGCAGTGGGAACCACATGCTACCCTCTTCTGAAGCACTGCCATTTCTGAGTGCAGTACTCCTAAGCCATTCTGCCTGCATGTACCCATGCAGGCAGAATGATTCATGGGATCTCAACTACAGTTCTGCTCCTTTCCTCTTCTCTGCTTCCCAGGGGAATTTCCAGAATTTCTCCCTAACTATTAAGTATAAAGACAAGAAATTCCTGAGAAGTAATGTGTCTTGGGACACCCACAATGTCTTCTTTTGGTGAAGCAGCATATTTCTGTCATCAGTTTTTGTTCCATTGCCCCAACATCAGTTGCTGGAACAAGTAATCACTCAAGTATAAAAGCAGAGTTTTAGTGATGTGGGAGAGTAGCCAAGCACATTAAGAACTACAACAAAGCAGTTTTGCAAAGCTCAAGAGCTCACATGGGAATACGGGACACGGCGCAAGACAAAGATTTCTACAGACTACAGTATTACTAGATCAAACTTGTGGTGACATGAGTGCACATGACTTTTATATTGGTATTTGGGGAGTGTACTTTACAACATTACAAGGCAAATGAAGAAGAAATATTGTACTGTGAAGCCCTCCTTTCGATAAGAAAAACTTTGGAGCTAATCTGCAAAACTCTCCCCCCAGCACATTCATCCACAAATACCACACGTCCCTCCCAACAAGTTACATCTGAGAGACAATCTTGAGTATGCCTCTCACTGGAACCACTGACTGAAAAATCCCACTTCCTTTCATCGTCTTTGCACTTAGGTTTTAGTTTCAAAAGCCTTTGGGCCTTGAATTCTAAGTAATGATAAAGTCTACATTGTTGCCTGCCAACTAAACTCCATTCAAAGCTCATAATACATCATATAATGTACAAAAGATTAAGTTGTTAGTCTGCTTTTTCCTCAACTGCTAGTCATCTCACAAGTAACTTTTTGAGAAGGGACACCTATTCTCACTGAAACACATACAATCTAGTTACCTTTATTCTAATACATTGCAAGTTACCATACCAAAAGATGAGAAATTATTGTCCATAAACATTAGGATAGATTCCAATCAAACGACCTGCAAGCTTCTTCCATTTGGTCTCCCCTGTGCATTGTATGATCTTGCAACAGAATGAACTGTCATTTGCAGGGGAAGGGGAGGAAGAAAATAAAAAGCACCTGAGTCAATTAAACAATCTTTCAGAGACTGCTGGGAATGGGAGGAGTCCGGGCCTACATAAACCAGACCCAGCTCATTCTGAGGAGATGAAAGGAAGATGAGGCAACATTCTGGAAGACTGAAGCAGTTACCCAGGGAAAAAACAGCTCCAGAAAAAGGCAGGTGAAGATACAAACAATGCTGGGAAAAAGATAGACAAAGTGGTTGAGGTAATATCTTTTACTGGACCAACTTCTGGTGGTGAGAGAAACACGCTTTCAAGCTATACAGAGCTCTTCTTCAGGTTTGGGAAAGGAACTTAAGGTGTCACAGCTAAATACAAGGTGGAACAGATAGTTTAGTATAAGAAGTTAGCACATATTCTAAGGGACCATTCAAGGTGAAGTGGCCTTTAACATCCTTGTAGTCATAGGACAGAAAGGAGGGTTAATGGATTACAGATGGTTGTAATAAGCCATAAATCCAGTGTCTTTATTAAGACCATGATTTTTAGTGTCTAGCAAACTTATGAATTTAAGCTCTCAGCTCATCTTCTGAAAGCGTTGTGCAGGTTTCCTTGGAGGATGGGGACTGATAGGTCAGATATAGAGTGATTGTTTTGTGAAAAGTGTTCAACCACAGGTGACAGGGTGTTTTTGTCTTATCATTTTCTGTGTGAGTTCATTTGAGAGTGTAGTGGTTGCTTGGTTTCACCCACATAGTTATTATTGGGGCATCTAGTGCATTGGATGAGTTATACCACATATTAGGCATGTGTAGGACCCACAGATCTTGAAAGGTGTGTTGTGGGGGGTGGTGATCACTGTAGCAGTGGAGATATGTTGCAGAAAAAGGTATTGAGCTTGAGGACAGCTGGATGCAGGCTGGAGCTTGCCTCCCAGTAATCTGTAGACTTGCCATAGAGGCAAGAGAACTACCCCCCTCCCCAATCCCACTTTTCTATGTTGGTCAGGGTACCTTGGCCCACCAGACGGTAGCTTGGAGACAGACCTCCCTGAACTTATCCACAAAGCCCCTACTCTGATCATACTTAAGTCCCCTGAGAGCCTCACTTTAACTATGGCTTTAGTTGACTTGCATAAAAATTCCTATTTATTATTTCATTTTGCCTTAACCTCCATCTACTGATCTGTCTGTATTTTTCTGTCCTTAGCCGCTCTCAGGCTATGTCTCTTTTTGAAAGTCTGGAAAGTGCATAGCTCATTAAGGATGCTCCTATAAAAATAATTTGTTCTGTGACAAAATATTTCCACAAAACGAAAGCCCTTAAAATATCAGACACACAAGTATTCATTCAGGCCGAGTGGCGTAAACACCGTTATATTTTGCAAAAAATTTGATTCTCTGGCCAAATTAATACATTGGCTGAAGCCAGAGTATATCGGTCCGTGCACTAACAATGATCATTTACGCCAGTGCCAAGAGAATATGAAACGCTATCAAATCCAGACAGTAGCAGTAACATCCACTTTGCACATGGGGGAAGTAACATCCACATTTGTAAATGATGGCACTGAGGGAAGGCTCTGGAAAATCAGGCCCAGAGTGTTTAAACAAATTGTTACATTGCTTGAGTGGGGGAGCTAAGGGCTTTTTAAAGGATGTCCATATGTGGCGCCAAAGTCTGAATCTGTTACTCAAGTTGAATATACCTTACTCGCAGTGTAGTCCGAATGAAGTCAGTGAGCCAGAATTAGGGTGACCAGACAGCAAGTGTGAAAAATCGGGACAGGGGGTGGGGGGTAATAGGAGCCTATATAAGAAAAAGACCCAAAAATCGGGACTGTCCCTATAAAATCGGGACATTTGGTCACCCTAAGCCAGATCCACCAGTTCCTCAGTAGCACCGATCAGCCACACAGTTGCCTTAAAGGAACCGCCGAGGATTAGCCAGTAGTGCAGAGCTGACTCTTTCTCTCCTCCTTCCTCCAGGTATGGGACAGTTAAGGGCAAGGAGGAATTGGGGCAGAATGCCCTTATGCTGTTTTAAACTATGCTGGGGGCCATTTCAGCCACTGGCCTGGACTGGCTTGGGAAAGCAAAAAGGTGATTCACAAGTGAATATAAGCTCTTCACTGCTGGAGATCTACTCCACAGCACTCTGAGAAGTAAGGTGCTATTACACCAGAGTAAGGATATCAGAATCTGTCTCTATGTGATCACTCAGAAAGATGTTTATAGTTGTTCAATAGTTCCTCTTCACTGTGGAATCCAATGAGCCAGATTCTTAGCTGGTGTAAAATGGCCTCAATGGAACTATGCTGATTTACACCAGCTGATAGTCTGACCCATACCAAATAAGTGGCCTTAAAAGTATTGTGCTATCATGGTATATTTATTTAAACATTGCAAACTATGTAATACATCATGAATCAGTCTCTGAAATATGCAACAAAGAGTCCTGTGGTACCTTATAGACCAACAGCTGTATTGGAGCATAAGCTTTCGTGGGTGAATACCCACTTCGTCAGACGCATGCGGTGGGTATTCACCCACGAAAGCTTATGCTCCAATACATCTGTTGGTCTATAAGGTGCCACAGGACTCTTTGTTGCTTTTTACAGATCCAGGCTAGGTCTACACTACAGCGGGGGGTCGACCTAAGAAACGCAACTTCAGCTACGTGAATACCGTAGCTGAAGTTGCGTATTTTAGGTCGACTTACCTGGCTGTGAGGACGGGGGAAAGTCGACCGCTGCCGCGCTGCCGTCGACTCCGCTGCCGCCTCTTGCCGCGGTGGATTTCCGGAGTCGACGGCAGAGTGATCAGGGATCGATTTTATCGCGTCTTCACTAGACGCGATAAGTCGATCCCAGAACATCGATTGCCTGCCGCCGGACCCTCCGGTAAGTGTAGATGTACCCCCAGACTGGCACGGCTACCCCCTTGATCTCTGAAATATGAAATTAGTGATTTGAAGTAATACTCCTACTGATAAAAATAGTCATTTGTCCACACTATGATGTGAAGCACTACAGCTTATTACAAGAAAATACTGTGGTATACTACCAAACATTTTTTTGTTTTATAATGGCTGATATGCCTACTAAAGCCTAACGAACTCTACTAATACTAACTTTATTTTGTTTACCTGCGTAGCACAGTATGATGATGTGAGTGTGCAAACCAATAGTTGTATTTTTATCCTTTTACAGAGAAAATTCGGCATGCTCCATTTCATAACTTTGTGAGAACAAGATTAATATTCAGCATTGCTTACAGGAATGTTTTCAGTGGATTGTCATATATGCCATTTACTAACCATTCACCTGAAGGATGTGGGTCTGATATAGCTCTTCATAGCCGTAGGCATGACAGGTGTAATTGCCCATGTGAATAGTTGTTACCTTGGTGATGTAGAGGGAATCATCTTCTCCAAAATCCTATAGGTAACCAAAGACAAGAAAGAGGCCTTATTTAGCAAACTTATTTTAAACATCACACAAAACTAGGCTATCATTTTCAGCTTGTTTTGATAGGATCTCAACTTAGCAACACAGCTTGAATTTTCAGTAGTAAGTTTTTGGAATTCATAAATCAGCATGAGGGAGGAAATGAGTGACAATTTAAGAGTAAGGTGATGCAACTAAAGTAATTCAATTGAGTGTGAACTTTTTATTCGGTGTTAACAAGATGCTCGATGCTTGTAAAAAGATGACAATCTCCAGCCATCTATCAGTGATTTATAGTGGAATTTAATATCTGTCTGCTAAGGTTATAGAGCAAGCTCTAATTTCTGGGTGAGTTAAAGACTGTTTGGATCTATGCTGATTGCTAACACAGTGCATCTTGACCTAGAGTCTTGATGAGAAAGAACTGAAACTATTTGTCAGTTATCTATAAAACACCTTATGTCAAAAAGGATTTTAAAAACAACCTAGTTAGGAGTAACTAGGAGAAAAAGAGCATTTCTTTAAAAAATGTTTTGATTTTTTAAAATTGGTTATGTGCCTTTTTCCCTAGCTCTCATCTGCAGCAGCTTTACTTATATTTTCTCCATGTGTAAGTTAAAATGAAAGTTATTCCAGAGAATTCTCATGACTTTGTTGCTAGGTTTGGGTATCTGGATATTTTGTCCTTGTGCTCTGCTTATCAAGTTATTGCAAGTGATCCCAAACAGGACTATACTGGGGAATAACATACACAGTAGCTTCTTTTCTCTTTTCATTAGCATTCAGACTTCTGCTGCTCTAAAATGTTTATACTTTTATGCAAAACCCAGAAGGAAACACTTAAAAAACATAGTTAATTAGCTCAAAGAATGATTTTTCCTTAATTAGCTCAAAGCATGAAGCATGCTAAATGAAATCCTTTGCAGAATTTCACTGAAGAAGTACAGTATAATTTCATGCGATGTAATAAGAGGAATACAAAATAAATACAACAGGATGAATAATAAACAGGGATGCAAAATTACTCCACTGGTCAAAACCCAAGAACGTTTGACCAAACTCCAAGTGTGGATGGAGGAAGGAAAGCCGCATATGCAATATGCAATGGGAAAATCCCTATAGGAAGTTTTATTGGTTATGCCATCCTTTTTAAATACACCCTTTCAGAATAAAATGCAATCCATCTGGTTTGTCTGATATGATCTTGAAAACATACACAATTTAGTTATGGGGCCAAATTCTGAGTTACATGCATCAAACCCTCATAAGTGAGAATGGTGGAAATCTGTGTAGGCCAAAATGTGTGTCTTTTTTCAGGACAAGTAGAGAGAGTTTCCATGGGGATGAGACAGATATATCCAATGCTGCCCCCAATCCACATGCCTGGAGATGCTGAGGGACGCTAAGGACGTGCAGTCAGCAGACTTTACCCCTGAGCAAGCTCTTTATCCAGATCTTTCCAGCCACAGTTACTGGGCAGGAGGGCTCTATCGTCTCCCACTGCAGGACTGCCAACCCCAAGTGTTTCAAAAATTGAGTCAGGCCCTCCCACCTTCCTCCAATCATGAGACTGGTTTTAAAATAATGAGATTTATGTTGTCTTCTGGTTTATGTGTCTTTTTTTTTTTTGTCTTCTGGTTTCTGAGCCACTAAGGTTCCCTTGCTTCATGTTATAAAATTTTTCTCTGCAACCATGAGGGTTAGAAACTGACTTTATTAAAATATGGAAGCTGAGATTCTCATTCAATCTCTTGATTCCAGCAGCTGGGGCTTAAAGAAAAACATTGCTAACTGACTCTTTTTAATCTCTGTCCCTGAACCACACCAGGCATCAATGAGGGTATACTAATCAATCCAGGGCAGACCATGAGTGGGTAGAAAAGGTGGCCCCGGAGCTCTGTTAAGTTTTGTACATGTTACAAGATGGAATAAGGAAGTGCCTGAAGCATGAGTGGAGCTTGCCAGTGGGACTAACATGCCCCTTCGTCCCAGATCATGCGCTTTGATGCCTACAAACTCACAGGTGGCAGAAATAACAGTGGACATGGCTACTGTTTCTGCTAGCATGACCTCAGCACATAAACTACAGTTTTGCCAATGCACCTTTACAAAGTTGTGTGTTCCCTTCAATTGTTTGTCTGCCTATTCAAACATCTACTCAGAATTTGGCCCTAAGGGTGAAATCCAAGCCCCAGTGAAGTCAATGAGAGTTTTGCCATTGACTGTAATGGTGTCAGAATTTCACCCCAAGTTTAAAACGTGTAGCCTGATCTATTGGAAATAGCTAATGGAAAGTTAGGGCCTGAACTTGCAAATGCTACTAAGCATAGTGCATTGATCATTCCCACTGAAATCAATCACTCTTCTATCATAAATCTGTATTCAGGGGAAAATGTCCATCTAACAATATAACCTGCAAGATGCAACTCAGCACATTGTACTGCATGACTCCTGGAAACTTGGCCAAAACTTGCATTTGTATTGAAGCAAAGATCTTAGGACACAGCTACACTAGAGTTTACAGCAGCGCAGCTGCACCGATGCACTTGCGCCGCTGTAAGCTCTCTAATGGAACCACTCTAAGCCAATGGGAGAGAGCTCTCCTGCCTGCTTAACTACTCCAGCCTCCATGAGCGGCAGAAGCTATGTCATAAGAACAGCCATACTGGGTCAGACCAAAGGTCCATCAAGCCCAGTATCCTGTCTACTGACAGTGGCCAATGGCAGGTGCCCCAAAGGGAATGAACAGCCAGGTTATCAAGTGATCCATCTCGTCGCCCAATCCCAGCTTCTGGCAAACAGAGGCTAGGGACAACATTCCTGCCCATCCTGGCTAATAGCCATTGATGGACCTATCCTCCATGAATCTATCTAGCTCCATTTTGAACTCTGTTATAGTATTGGGCTTCACAACACCCTCTGGCAAGGAGTTCCAGAGGTTGACAGTGCGTTGCAAGGAAAAAATACTTTCTTGTGTTTGTTTTAAACCTTCTACCTATTAATTTCATTTGGTGGCCCCTTGTTCTTGTATTATGAGGAGTAAATAACATTTCCTTATTTACTTTCTTTATACCACTCATGATTTTATAGACCTCTATTATATCCCCCCTTAGTCGCCTCTTTTCCAAGCTGAAAAGTCCCAGTTTTATTAATCTCTCCTCATACGGAAGCCGTTCTATACTCCTAATCATTTTTGTTGCCTTTTTCTGAACCTTTTCCAATTCCAATATATCTTTTTTGAGATGGGGCGACCACATCTGCATGCAGTATTCAAGGTGTGGGCGTACCATGGATTTATATAGAGGCAATATGATATTTTCTGTCTTGTTATCTATCCTTTTCTTGATTCCCAATGTTCTGTTCGCTTTTTTGAGTGCTGCTACACATTGAGTGGATGATTTCAGAGAACTATCCACAATGACTCCAAGATCTCTTTCTTGAGTGGTAACAGCTAATTTAGACCCCATCATTGTATATGTATATTTATAGTTAGGATTATGTTTTCCAATGCAAATTACTTTGCATTTATCAACATTACATTTCATCTGCCATTTTGTTGCCCAGTCACCCAGTTTTGTGAGATCCTTTTGTAGCTCTTCGCAGTCTGCCTGGGATTTAATTTATCATCTGCAAATTTTTCCACCTCACTGTTTACCCCTTTTTCCAGATCGTTTATGAATATGTTAAATAGGACTGGGCCTACTACAGATCCCTGGGGGACACCACTATTTACCTCTCTCCATTCTGAAAACTGACCATTATTCCGACCCTTTGTTTCCTATCTTTTAACCAGTTACCAATCCATGAGAGAACCTTCCCTCTTACTCCATGCCTGCTTATTTTGCTTAAGAGCCTTTGGTGAGGGGCCTTGTCAAGGGCTTTTTGAAAATCTAAATACACTATATCCACTGGATCTCCTTTGTCCGCATGCTTGTTGACCCCTCAAAGAATTCTAGTAGATTGGTGAGGCATGATTTCCCTTTACAAAAACCATGTTGACTATTTCCCAACAAATTATGTTCATCTGTGTGTCTGACAATTTTGTTCTTTACAATAGTTTCAACTAACTTGCCTGGTACTGAAGTGAGGCTTACTGGCCTGTAGTTGCCAGGGTCACCTCTGGAGCCCTTTTTAAAAATTGGTGTCACATTAGCTATCCTCCAGTCATTTGGTACAGAAGCTGATTTAAATGATAGGTTACAGATGACAGTTAGTAGTCCTGAAATTTCACACTTGAGTTCCTTCAGAACTCTTGGGTGAATACCATCAGGTCCTGGAGACTTATTACTGTTAAGTTTATCAATTTGTTCGAAAACCTCCTCTAATAACACCTCAATTTGGGACAGTTCCTCAGATCTGTCACCCAAAAAGAATGGCTTAGGTTTGGGAATCTCCCTCACATCCTCAACAGTGAAGACCGATGCAAAGAATTCATTTAGTTTCTCTGCAATGGCCTTATCGTCTTTGAGTGCTCCTTTAGCATCTCGATCGTCCAGTGGCCCCACTGGTTGTTTAGCAGGCTTTCTGCTTCTGATGTATTTAAAAAAATTTTTGCTATTACTTTTGGAGTCTTTGGCTAGCTGTTCTTCAAATTCTTTTTTGGTCTTTCTAATTATATTTTCTACACTTTATTTGCCAGAGTTTATGCTCTTTTCTTGTTTCCTCATTTGGATTTATCTTCCACTTTTTAAAGGATGCCTTTTTCCCTCTCACTGCTGCTTTTACTTTGTTGTTTAACCACGGTGGACTTCCATCGCTTACCTAGCAGCCTAAATTTGGCCTCCAGGACCTCTCTCCTATCCTTCCCCATGTAGTTGGTACCTACATGTACCACAACCACTAGCTCCTCCCCAGCACTACACATGAACCTATCTAGATGTCTCGAGAGACGCTCTCCCACCAACATAGTGCTGTCCACACCAGCCCTTATGTTGGTGTAACTTATGTCACTCAGGGGGCTCAGCATAAGTTATACTGATGTACGCTGTAGG